GGGGGGGGGGCAGCCCCCGGCTCCAGCGAGGGAGAGTGTGGTACAAAGCTGTGCTTTGCTCTGGTTTTGTTCACGCCACCTCCCTCAGGTTGAAATAAACGGCTTTTCTGCTAGGGGATGCTTACCCCCACCAGTTGCATAGCCCTCTCCCCCCGCAAAACCTCGGCTGTGAGGAGGTGAAGGCTTCCCGGTGGCCTGGCACAGCGTGGTGGGAATGTTTGGAAAGTGCCTAAAACTAAAGTCATCAGTTGTTAAAAATCAGTTTCCCAGGAAGAATCTGTCATATGCAGAAAGGTTTGGGGTTTTTAACTTAGACCAGTTTTAGAGTGCACAGAAAGGTCTTTTTTTTGAGTGTGTGAGTATGTGTTAAGTCTGGCTTTATTTATTATTACCTAATATGATTAGCTAGACATGGAAATAAAATATAATCTTTTTTTAATGACCAACTAACTTTCAGTTGGTTATGCAATACCCCATACTTGGGCAGGAGAGCAGGGCTGTCACCCCCTGGTGCTGTGCAGAATGGGGTTAGGCAGCCTGGGGAAGAAGCAACACGTGCAGACCAGCCGTACCAATTTTACCCCGTCTCCCGCCACCGCGACCGTAGATGGTGCCGGTGATGATGCTTTCACGGCCTTCACCAGAATGGCGCTGAGATCTGGGCCTAATTAGAAAATAGCGATCGTGCAATGAACTAGACCCTGACTCCTCTTTGGTGAAGACACGGGGAACACGTGATCGGACACACAAATGTCTATTTTCAGTAGCATTAATAACCAGCCTTCCCACCCCGTTTGTAGGCTTACCACTCAACCTTAATGGACTCCGATACCAAGCTAATTGGGAACATGGCGCTGTTACCCATCAGAAGCCAGTTCAAAGGCCCAGCGCCTCGGGAAAGTAAGTTTATAATAATCTCTGAAAACCTGCCTGCGTATAGCTTATAATCATCTCATGGTTTGCTCCAAGCCAGCCCTAGCAAGAGTGACGAGAGGAGTCACAGGCTGGAAATGGAGTGCTTTGCAGTTTGTAGAGGAGGAAGAAAGTTTCCAAATATTTAAGTTGTGCAAATCATAGAAAATAATTATGCACAGATAAATAATGTGCCATGCTTACATCAGTTGTTTCAGTAATTAAAGCCGACGGTTACTATTCTCGTGTGTCTCACTGTGCTCTTCAGTCGGTTTTGAGGAGGACGTGGTGGTGCGAACCCTCTGCTGTCAGAGGAAGTGGAGGTTTAGCTGCAGAGAACTTGGCCTTTGGCTGAAGACACTCGGCTGCTCTGAAGGACGAGGAGTAGGACAGGCTAGGGTAGGGGGCTTCAAAAATTGAACTGAAGTTACGGGCATCCCAACAGGCTCCACAGGCAGCCTGGTACGCATTCCCCTTCGGCATGTGACGTAACACTTCCCAGCCACGATATCCCCCAGTAGTGTGGCAGTTCAGTTTGAGAAAGGAAATGTAAAGGAAATGTTTCTGGATTTAAGCAGTCTCGGATGGTAGCAAAAGCAGATGAAAGTCGCAAGTAAGCTTGCCACTATGTGTTCTGCTCCCCCCCCCTTTTTTTGAAGAGGATAATGAAATTTGTGCGATTGTGGCGGTATGCTTTCTCCAAAAACATTTTTGTGTCCTGAGAAGACTTTACGCTGTTAAAACTCAACTGGCAGGAAAGTGGGGAACTGCTGAACTGCTGCCATTTGTGAAGTGAGAAATCATAGGGGGAGGAGAAGAAGGGGGTTAAAGCTCCTGCTAAGAGTAGGAAGCTTAAATATTATGGTCTGAGCTCACCAGTGTTTCACATGGCAATGACTGTTTTCTGTTATATAGTGCTGTCTTCTGCTTTTTGTAAATAGCAAGGTTTTGCCTTTGCAATAATCCTTATTTATGTATTTCAGTGAGTAAAAGTTATGAGCAAATGTAGTATCATGGTGCACTGTTTAACTCTGTATTTCTTCTTTGTTAGCTAAGGACACAGATATTATAGATGAAGCCATCTACTACTTCAAAGCTAATGTTTTCTTCAAAAATTATGAAATTAAGGTAATTTTTTGAGATACTGTGCATATAGTAGTTCTTTGGAGGATTGGTGCTGTGAATATAAATTTATGTTCAA